TCTGAGCTGTGAGAGCACCGCGTGCCACACCTGGCCAGCCACTGAGCTTCGCGGAGCCTCGCTCTTCTTGTCTGTACAAATGGCCTGATGCTGTGACTTCCCACTTTGAAACCGCGAAGAGCTGCCTGCTGTTAGCATAACCCTTGGGCAGATTCCTCGCCAGCGTCCTTGGTCCTCCCTGACTTGGGTGGCCATGCAGGATGGGAGCAGCTCTGACATCAGACACCCCGCCCCAGCCTCAGGAGCCAGGCAGCCATGGGGAAATGACGCCTGTCCTTGATGGCTAGGCATGAAAACAGGGCATCCCAGTCCTGATTTCGAGCATGATGAGACGAATGGAGTTAACACCCTCGAAGGGGCCTGCGCCGCACCCAGTGTGGCGTGTTTTTCCCTCCCTCCCAGACCCTCTCCCCCAGACGTCATTCTCTGCATTTCTTCAGTGCTGACCAACCTCCCACTTCCTTTGAAGGAGAATTTGATGTTGGAAAGAGCCCAAGGTCACCAGGAGGCTTGTCTGGCCGAGGAGGCAGACGGTTAGTAATCAAGCCCAGGAAGGAACACCCTCTGGGTGTGCAGAAAGGGTTTCAGCGCTCAGGGGAGGGGAGGCTCAGAAGGCAGCCAGTCTCGCTGTGAGCACAGCAGTCCCACTTCGGGTGGCCTCTCCCAGAGGCCATTGAGGGGGAGCGGGTCTGCAGCTCCAGGGACAGGAGGGGCTGGGGGCCGTAGGTGTGGCTGGAGTGCACGGCGGCGGGTCGTAGCCTCTGGCCTTGGTGGCTGACTCTCATCCTTGCCAAGTGGGAATGTCAGAGGCAGAATGACACATCGCCCAGATCCACTCCTCCATGTTTTTATTCCAGGAGAGGACTGAAGTCCTTCCCTCCCCCACCTGCTCCCTGGTGGACAGAAGTCCCAGCTAGAAACTGACCTTGGCGCTCTCCGGCCCCACCCTCTGCTTCTCTCCCCACCCCCGCTCCTTCATCCCAGGGCACCCAGGAAAGGAAGAAGCCACACGGATCTGTCTCTGTGCTCCAGGCACGTGCCCAAGGTAGCGATGGAGCCGCTGGGACACCAAGTCTCCAGAGCCTCCGCTGAGGCTCCCCAGAGGCTCAGAGACTCCGTTCTCCGCATCAGGGCCCAGACCTGCATCCGTGCGGCCATGGAGGCAGAGGGAGGAGGCTAGAGGGGCCATTGTCTAAGAGAAACGGACCCAAAGCAAGAGGCTGGTGCCACATGCCTTCATTGAAGGGTCCTGGCAGGGTGCATTTATACAATGCAAAGGCCAGCCGGACCTCAGCTCCATTCCTGGCTCCCAAGGTGACCGTGTGTGCCGCCTCGCCTCTGGCCTTCTGCTTCTTCATCTTCTAAAGAGGGTGGGTGTGCACTGGGTGGGTTTCTGGACCTTCCTCCTACAACCCCAAGAGCCATAGCCTCAGGGTCCCAGTAGAATCTGACAGCCCAGGGGGTGGTGGGCTTGCGTTCTACTTCATTGGTTTGCGGTCTCATTTTGCCCCTTTATCCAAAGACAAAACACCCAATGTTGTCACGTCGACTCTGATTCAGGGCCCTAAAGAGTACAGTAGAACCACAGTAGAACCGCCCCCATAGAGTTCCCAAGGCTGTAAATCTGTACAGAAGCAGACTACCACACCTTTCTCACAAGAGTGGTGGGTGAATTCGAACCACAGACCTTCCAGTGAGCAGATGAATGCTTAACTCCGGGGCCACCAGGGTTCGCTTGTCCCTCCCGCCTCCGCTCAAATCTTCCAGCTTCGCTGGGTTGCCGCGGCTACGCGGCCATCCTATAGAAAGCCTGCGCCACCTAGGGGCACGTGGCCCCCACTGCATCTGGTAGTAGAAGGTGGAAGGTTAAGACCTCATTCACCTGGTCCAGAGCTGGCTCCTGCCTGGGGAGGCTCCCCCGGTTTGAATGAAAGCTTACCGGGAAATTTCGTTTTCCTCTCGATGATCTATACACTTCTTATTTTGTGACATTTGTTTCCATCCCCTCAACGTAGCAGCACTTTTCCCACTTCCTCTCGGGGTCGCCCTGGTTAGGCTGATTGCTGTGTTTCTTCCTTTTGATGGTTATTGTAAAAGGTAGGCGGCCTGGTGGCACAGTGGTTACTGGTTAGGCTGCTAATTGAAAGGTCAGGAGTTCAAAGCCACCAGGCACTCCAAGAGAGTTATAGTCTCAGAAACTCACAGGGGCAGTTCTACCCAGCCCTATAGGGTCACTGTGAGTTCGAATCAACTCAGTGGCGGTGAGTTTGAGTTTGATTGCAAAACGTATTGCTTTTTTATTTCCTTTCCGTGTCCTTGGTAACGAAGAAGAACCTGACTGAATTTTCTGCGTTAGTGGTGTACCCTGCCATGTTGCTGAATCCTTCTATGCGTTCCAGTAGATTCCTTACAGAATCGCTGGGATTTTCCATGTCTAAGTTCCTATCATCTGCAAGTAGGGCTAGTTTTACTCTTCCTCATTCATGTGAGTGTTTTTTTACCTCCCTTCTGTCCCTTGTTACTCTGGCTAGAACTTCCAATGCAATATTAAGTGGGGATGTTGATGAAGGGCATCTTGTCTGGTTCCCATTCTCAAGAGAAAGGCTTTCAGTCTCTCCATTGAGAATAAAACTAGCTGTTGGTTTGTGTATGACCTTAATTATGTTAAAGAGTTTCCCTTTGATTCCTATTTTGCTGAGAATTTTTATCAGGAAAGAGTGTTGGGTTTTATCAAATGCCTTTTCTGCATCGATTGATATCATGTAGCTCTTTTCCTTTGTCTGATTTATGTGGTGGGTTGTGTGCATTGATCTTCTACAGTTGGATCATCCCTTGCAAACCTGAAATTAGGTCCACTTGGTCATGATGTATTATTTCGATATGGTGTTGCATTCTGTTGGCTAGGAATTTGTTGCAAAATTTTGCATCTATTTTCATGAGAAAGCATTGACCTGTTAATTTTTTTAAGCCTGGCTTTTGTATCAGGTGATGCTTCCTTCGTGGAACGAATTTGGGGATGTTCCATCCTTTCTGTTCTGGCATAGTTTGAGTGAAATAGGTGTCAGCCCTTCTCTGAATGTTTGGTAGAATTCACCAGTGAAGCCGCCTGGACCAGGGCTTTTTTGGGTTTTGTTTTGTTTATTTTAATATCGCCTTTGATCTCATTTTACTCCCTTGTTATGATCTGTTCAAATTTTCTACTTCAGTCACCCCTGTCTTGTTCCTTAACATGGGTAGTTTCTGGACATGTATCCATTTTGTCTAGGTTTTCCAATCTGTTGAAGGACATTTAAAAAATCATTTTATTAGAGGCTCGTGCAACTCTTATCACAATCCACACATCCATCCATTGTTTCAAGCACATTTGTACAGTTGTTGCCATCATCATTCTCAAAACATTTGTTTCTACTTGAGCCATTGGTATCAGCTCCTCATTTTTCCCCTCCCTCCCATCCTCCCTTCCTCATGAACCCTTGATAATTTATAAATCATTATGTTTTCATGTCTTACACTGTCTGATGTCTCTCTTCACCCACTCTTCTGTTGTCCGTCCCCCAGGAAGGGGGTTATAAGTAGATCATTGTGATCGGTTCTCCTTTACCCCCCACCTTCCTCTTCCCCTTCCCCTCCTGGTAGCTCTACTCTCATTATTGGTCCTGAGGGGTTTATCTGTCCTGGATTCCCTGGGTTTTCAGTTCTTATCTGTATCAGTGTACATCCTCTGGTCTTGCCGGATTTGTAAGGTAGAATTGGGATCATGATAGTGTGGGGGAGGAAGCATTAAGGAACTAGAGGAAAGTTGTATGTTTTGTCGGTGCTATACTGTGCGCTGACTGGCTCATCTCCTCCCTGAGACGCTTCTGTAAGGGGATGTCCAGTTGCCTACAGATGGTCTTTGGTTCTCCACTCCGCACTCCCCCTCATTCACAATGATATGATTTTTTTGTTCTATGATGCCTGATACCTGATCCTATTGACTGCTTGTGATCACGCAGGCTGTTGTGCTTCTTCCATGTGGGCTTTGTTGCTTCTCAGCTAGATGGCCACTTGTTTATCTTCAAGCCTTTAAGGCCCCAGACACTATGTCTTTTGATAGCCAGGCACCATCAGCTTTCTTCACCACGTTTGCTTATGCACCCATTTGTCTTCAGTGATCGTGTCGAGAAGGTGAGCATCATGGAATGCCAGTTTAATAGAACAAAGTGGTCTTGCTTTGAGGGAGTACTTGAGTGGAGGCCCAATGTCCATCTGCTACCTTAATACTAAACCTATAAATATAGGCACATAGATCTATTTCCCCATCATCATATATAGATATATTTACATATGTACATTCCCGTACTGAGACCTCTATAAATGCCCTTTGCCTCCTAGTTCTTTCCTCTATTTCCTTTTACTTTCCTCTTGTGCCATTATCATGCTCAGCCTTCATTTGGGTTTCAGTAATTCCTCTCGGTTACATTGCTCTTGATCAAGCCCTATCAGGCCTCCTACAACCTCCTCACCACTGATTTTGGATCACTTGTTGTTCCTTTGTTCCTGGGTTTGTTAGCACCACTTCCTTTTCCCCGCCTCCCCCTCTCCCATGTGCCCCCCCCCACTGCGCCCCCAACCCTCGATCTCATTGTTTTCTCCTCTAGATTATTTATCCTGCCTATCTTATCTAGATAGACTTGCAGAGTTAATAATATACACACAAAAAACAAGACAAAGCAAAACAAAGCAACCAAAAAAAGAAAACAACAAAACAACGACCAAAGAAAGAAAAGCCTGTAAATAGTTCAAGGTCTGTTTGTTGACTTTTAGGAATTTTTTCTGGTAGAGTGATGGGGTGCCACACCCTGGCCCCAAAGTCTATTTTTGGTATTCCCTGGGGACTGCTTTGCTCTGTTCCCCTTGCTGTTCTGTTGCACGCCCTTAGTGTTTTGCCTCCGTGTGGTGGGTCAGATCGGGCGCAATTCCTGCACTGTGTCTCCAGTGTTGTCCCCCATAGGGCTATGATGGGTCAGTGAGGGACATCATGTCTCATAGTAGGGCGGGCCATATGGTCCTCTCTGTGCTTTTACTGCTCTGAGCGGGAACATCGTGGAGGACATTTTTGCATAGTATTTTGTTATTTGCTACTTCTGAGCACTGCTTTTGCTGTGACCCAAAGGTTTCGGTATACTGTGTTTTCTGTCTCATTTTAAGCCTAGGAATTTTTTATTTCCTTTCTGATTCTTTCAAGTTTTTTTCTGCCTCACAACCCAGGAGCCCCCAAATCCCCAGACACACACACACACACACACACACACACACACACTTTTTTGGTTACTATGGGATGAGGTGACAGTTAATAGATAAGAGATGTATAAATCCGCAACAGCCCTTCTTTAGAGCGATATAAAGATAACTGTCCCCAAGCCAACAATCATTCAATGTGTGCAACAGAAGAAAACACTGCCCACTTCTGCATTGTCCCCACAACTGCTGGTGTATCTGAGCTCATCATTGCAGCCTTCATGCTAGTCCAGCACACCGAGGGTCTCCCTCTCATGGGCCCTTCATTTCACCAAACTTGAGGTCTTTCTACGGCAACTAAACCTGCCTACTGGCGGGTCTGAAGCAAGTTGAACGATGCTCGGTTGTGATCCATAAGCTATTCACTGGCTAATCTCTTCCTTGTTCCTTTTAGTCTGGAAGCACCGCTGAACACGTGAACTCCATGGGTGGCCCTGCTGGTATTTGAAATACTGGTGGCATAGCTACCAGCATCATGGCAACATGCAAGTCACCACAGGATGACAAACTGATGGACCTATTTAGTAAGGCAGAAATAGTCTCCAATCATTGAAGCGTCTAGAGTCTAGGCATGAGCAGTGAAGCGGCCTCATGGAAACATCAGAGGCTTAGGTGTGGCAAGATGGGAGTGTAAGCCTGACTCTCAAGGCCTTCGCTGGACTATCCTCAGATCTCATGATTCCCAATCACCAATCCCTGATCACTGATCAGCAGGCAAAAAACCAGAACTAACCTTCTGATTAGGTTCTTGGGAGGGTTCGCAGCAAAGTAGGTGAAGCACCTGGCACGAGGCCTGTCTCCGTAAACATGTCCTCCACGCAGCAGCCAGACGTTCCTGTGAAAAGTGACTCCGAAGCTGTCATCCTGCCGCTTGGAGCCCACCACTATCCTTCCCCGCTGTGGCTCCCGCAGTGGCTTCCCCTCACCTCCCCAGGTCCACACACTCCTCCTCCACTCCTTCCACAGTAGAGTCCTGAGCACCCCAGGGGTGGTCTTGGCTGCTCCTTTTTCCTGGAATGGCTTCTTCACAACCGACTCCCTCACGGCCTTTCTGTTTAGGCTTAAATGTTACCTTCCTGGCTTCCCTACCCAAAATCTCAACCCTCCTTTCCCCACATGATTTTTTAAATTTCTCCTTTAGCGTTGATCACCACTTAGGATACTATAAGGGGTCTCTGGGGGGTGCAAATGGTGACTGTGCTCAGCGGCTAGCTCAGCAAGTAGGGGTCATGTCTGCCCAGAGGCACCTCAGGAATGAGCCAGGACAAGTCGGTGGAGCATAGTTCTGTTGTGACACCCAGAGTCATCTCACCGGGGACCATTCCAGACCCAACTTCCCTCGCTCCCTGTCTGCTCCTAGTTATTGTGTTCATGGTCAAGTGCTTGGCCAACGAGTACAGCAAGCATCACCGTTGTATCCTCTGAGCAGACGTATTCAACCTGTGCACAGCTAACCTGAGAGGCAGGGCTCTATGAAGAAGAACAGGGCGTTGGGATGGGAGGAGGCTCGTTAACGCCCTGCCATATGCAGATGAGACAGGCTTGCTTGCTGAAAGTGGAGAGGCCTTGGACTTCTCACTGATGAGGATCAGTCTGCACTGGTCTGCACTGCAGCTCACGCAAAAGACAATGGAAATCCTGACAACTGGACCAATAAGCAACATCAGGATAAACGGAGAGAAGATTTGAAGTTGCCAAGGGTTTCCTTTCACTTGGATTTGCGATCGATACCGTGGAAGCAGCAGTCAAGAGATCAAACAATGCGTTGCATTGGGCAAAGCCGCTACACAAGACCTCTTGCAAAGTGCTAAAAAGCAAAGATGTCATTTTCAGGACTAAGGTGCACTTGAGTCAGGCTATACCTCATCTGGTAGTGGAGTGGTTACACACTGGGCTGCGCTCAGAAGAGTCAGCAGGTCGAAACCAGCAGCAGCCCTGCAGGAGAAAGAGGGGCTTTCTACCCCTATAAACGGCTCCAGTCTCGGAAGCTCACAGGGGCCATTCTGCTCGGTTCTGGAGGCTCCTTGAGCCACTGTCGACTGAAAGGCGGTATTTTGTTTGTTTGTTTCATATGGGTGTGAAAGCTGAACGGTGAATCAGGAAGACTAGGACATGTCTTTGAATTACGTAGGGTAAAGGATATCGAATATGCCAGAAGAATGAGCAAATTGGTGTTGGAAGAAGGACAGCCAGAATGGCCCTTGGAAGCAAGGATGGTGAGCCTGTCTTGTACACTTTGGACATGCTAACAGGAGGGACAAATCCCCAAAGACTTACATCATGCTTGATAAAGCAGGGTCATGGTAGAGAGAGACCCTGAATGCGATGGATTGAAGCAGTGGCCTCAACCCTGGCAATGACTGTGGGGACGGTGTAGGCCAGGCCGTGGGTTGATCTGTTGTGCATAGGTCCTTGCGAATCAGAACAGACTTCATGGCACCTGACGACAACAAGGGCGGGGGGGGGGGGGGGGGGGGGGTGTGTCAATAAAAATGTGTTAAATAGGCGGATGTCTACCTAACACATTCATACATTCTTAACACATTAATAATTTTTAAAAGAACGGAGTAACAGGAACACTTTCCTGCCACGTCTCTCGGAAACTCAGAAAGCAGATAACCTGTATAATGTTTTTCTTCCCGTACAATGTTTTCTGTTGACACAATCTTTTCCTATAAAATATTAAATGCTGCTATTCCCCAGGTCATGCCGAGGCAAGGAATCAGGGGGGAGAGGGCCAGGCCTGCTTTACAGAGGAGGCAGGCAGACTCCTGGCTGCTCACACATCTGGTAACGGGTAGCAGAGCCAGGAGAGCTGGTCTCCAGACTCCAAGGCCACAACGCTTTCTCCTTCCCACGCTGCAGCTCCGGCTCCGTGGAGTGGGGGGCCTGGAAATACTTACCCTAGAGCACTTGGTCGAAGCATTGTTCTTAGCATAAGCACGGGGCTTAAGTGGCCGCCCAGTCAGCTTTCACTGGGACAGGGACAAGCCCAGCCTTTCTTCACTGGGCTGAATGCTTACTGGGCACCTACCCTATGGCAAGGCCATGAGACCCACCTGGGGCAGAAAAGGCTGGACTGCTCAATTAGCTTCTCAGAAGAGTAGCTTCCAGTCAGGGGAAGCAAAAGGACTTGGTGGCCCAGTGAGGGGCCCATGGTGGTGCGTTTTGCAGCAGGACACAGGGAGCCTAGATCCGAATTTCCACCCCATTGGGAACTTGTGGCCCATTCCTGGCCATCCCCCTGCAAGGTCTGGTTTTCCAGACGCCTCCTCCCCATCATGCCCACTCCTCCATCTGTGCCCACGTGGCTCCCATACTCACCCTTGGCATAGCATTCAAGACTCTGCATTGAAATGGCTGGTGTGTGTGTCTGCCTCCCTTAGATCAGTAGTTCTCAACTGTGGGTGAGTTTTCTCCCAAGGGACATGCGTCCATGTCTGGAAATATTTTGGCTGTCCCAAGGGGAGCGATGTCACAAACATAGAGCCAGTAGAGACCAAGGATGCCGCTGCACATCCTGCAATGCCCAGTCGAGCTGCCACAAGCATTAGTTGGCCAGGGGTAAGAGCTGTGCCAGTTGCTGGGTGTCACTCCGTCGGCGCTGACTCATGGTGACCCTGGGCACAACAGAACGAAGCACTGCCCGGTCCGGCACCAGCCTCACCACGTTTGTTTGATTTGAGGCCCTGGTTGGAGCCACCGTGTCCATCCGTCTTCTTGAAGGGCTTTCTTTCGCTTACCGACCATCTCCTTTACCAAGCATGCCAGCCTGCTCCAGGGACCGGCCTCTCCTGACAGGGTGTCCAAGGTAGGTGAGAGGCAGTCTCCGCCTCCTCACGTCTAAGGAACATTCTGGCTGCACTCCTTCCAACACAGATCTGTCTCTGTGTTGTTGTTTTCCCTGGAAGGTGAGGATGCTTTCAATGTTCTTCACCAAAACCGTGATTCAGATGCACCCATCCTTCTTCAGCCTTCCTTACTCAAGGACCTGCTTGCACAAGACGGAACATATGGCGCACCCCTCAGTCCTCAGAGTGACGTCTCTGCTCTCTGTCGTTTAAAGAGGGCTGTGCAGCAGATTTCCCCAATTGCTATATGATGTTTGATTTCTTGACCCCTGCTTCCATGAGCGCTGATTGTGGATCTGAGCAAGAGGAAACCCTTGACCCCTTCGATCTTTCTCCATGTATCATGCTGTCTGTTGGTCTAGTTGTGAGGTTGTTGCATTCTGTACATTGAGTTGCAACCATACCGAAGGCCGCACTCATCAGCAAGTACTTCAGGTCCCCTCACGGTCCGCAAGCAAGCGCGTGTGCGGCGCGCGTCACAGGTTGCGAGTACGCCTTCCTCCAACCCGGAGGCTGCGGTCTTCTTTGCAGACTCCAACCTCTGATTATTGCTGATATCTCTACATTCAGCATATCGATCGGATAGTGCCGATAAAAGGATACCCCCCTGACACACACCTTTCCTGGTGTTCAGCCATGTTGCATTTGTTCTGGTTAAACAACCGCCTCTTGGTCTAGGTCCCGTTTCTGCCTGCGCACCCTGAAGAGCTCTGAATTCCCGTTCTTTGGACACACGACTCCTTCTTCCTGTTCTGTTCTTCGTCTGGAAGCGCCGCGGCAGCCTGCCCACCACGGGTGACTCTGCTGGTATCTGAAATGCCGGTGGCATTGTTTCCAGCAGCATAGCACCACACAGGCCACCACACCACCCAAACTGACGTGGGCGTGGTGGGATGTGTCTGGACATCCAGGGGCCAGTGTCACCAAACACTCGCTGCTGTGAGTCGAGCTGACTGACAGCAACCCTACAGGACAGAGGAGAACCGCCTCTTAGGGTTCCTGAGGCTGTAACACCAGCAGATCATCACATCTTCCCATCCAAGAAGCTGGTGGGCTCGAACCAGTGACCTTTTGCTTCGAAGCTGAGCATTTTAATCACAGTGCCACCAGGACTCCCTTGGCGCTCAGTTTATGTCACCTATAAAAGCCAGTTGCTGTCGAAGCCTCATGGAAATTCCAAGTATTTCAGACCGGGTCTGTGCTCCACCGGGTTTTCAATGGCGGCGATCTTTCAGAGGTAGGAAGCCAGACCTCTTTGAGCCAATTGCAAACTGCCTAGGATTGAAGGGGCCTAAGATTGACAGCCGTCATCATGGTGCCCCGTCCTCGACCTTCAAGCCCTGAAATCTAGTCACTTCTGTGGAGTATTTTGCCCTGAACATGCCTCGAGACCTGCCGCCACCACCCGTGTGTCCCCAATATCAATTTTTGTGCTTGGTGCATGCAAATCGGCCTCCCCATCGGACAGTGAGCTTCGTAAAGGGAGGGGCTGCAACCGATACACCACGAGTCCCCAGCACCTAGCTTGGGGCTAGCACAGGGCAGGCACTTAGCAAGCGTTACTGAATTCACTTCCAGACAAATGTCTGGATGCAAGTAGAATAAAGAACAGACACTTCATTCCCCAGATCAACACAAACTGTGAGTAGCAGAGCTGACTCTAATCAGGCATTCTTTCAAATAGACACACCATTAGGTGCCAGGCTCTGTCTTAAGCGCTGAGAATCAGCCAGCCCTGCCCTCTACCCCTCCCTGATAGTACCCCCCCACCCAAGTCCAAGCCTGGCTGTCTCCAATCCTTGCCCACCGGCCCCACCCAAGTGTCCCCAAAGCCCAGGCAGAAGGAAAGGGGGCACTGCTCCACAGCCCTCCCCTCTCTTCCCCTCCCTGCACCACGCTCTGTGCTGCCCGCAACCCCTCAACCCTTCCCTCCACCAAAGGGACCGTCAGCTGTCTCATCGCCCTCCCGGAAAGAGACTCCATCCCGGCTCGCCCACGTGCTCATTAATTTCACGCTCTGTCTCCCGCACGACTGACATACCTTCTGCTCTTCCCCCCACGTGGCCGCCCAGCGCCTCCAGCCCCTCGCACACCTGGGACTGGGTCTCCCTGGGTCCCTCCCTTTCTCTGCACACAGGTGGCCCCTCGGAGGGCTTACCCCCCTGCGCCCCCGCCTTGGAGTGGAGGCTTTGGGGCTCGGGGCAGATGGAGCACAGGTCTTCTGTGGACTAGACTGCCCTGGACGCCTTCTGACGGCATCCCTCCCAGGACCTAAAGACATCCTCACGGCCCACCGAGCCTTTGTTCGCACACTGGTAAATGAGCCTTCCCCTGGTGGGTTTGAACTGCCGACCTTTAAGTTCGCAGTCCAGCCCCAATGTTTGCGTCACCATCCGCCCTAGCTAAGACTTGTCTACACAGCTTCTGAAGAACTCCGGCACTTGTTCCTGCTCGTCTTGCCCTCTTTTCATTCCCACCCAGTCCTGGTGGCGCGGTGGGTTAGGCATTGGGCCGGCTATACACAGGGTTGGAGGTTCCGACCCACCAGCCGCTGTGCGGGAGAAAGACAAGGCGGCCTGCTTCCTGTGAGTTGGAATCGACTGGGTGGCAGTGGGTTTGGCTTGGGTTTGGCCAAGGAGCCCTGGTGGAACAGTGGTCAAGCGCTCCCTTGTGAACTGAAAGGTGGGCACTTTGAGGCCACCTGCAGAGCGGAACAGCAGCGGGCTGGGTTTGGATTGGTTTTTTGTTCTGTCCCCAGGAAGGCCCTGGCTGGTTAACAGCGCTGGCCTAGGCTGGCGGGGTCTGGGGGTGAGCAGGGGGTCGGAAGGGGTGGCGAGAAGCTTGGGAGAAAAACCTGTCTACTCGCAAAAAAACATGGGTCACTGAATCCCCAATGCCCCCTCCCTTCTACTCTGACAGACAGTGGGGTCCTTGCGAGCTGGAATCAGTTGGGTGGCTCGCTCACTGCCCCTGAGTCAAGGCCGACTCACAGCCACCCTGTAGGACAGTGTAGAACTGCCCCTGAGGAGTTCCCAGACTGACTCTTTATGGGAGTGGAAAGCCGATCTTTCTCCCACTTGGAGGGCTGGTGGTTTCAGACTGCTGACCTTGTGGTTAGCAGTCCCGCACATAACCACTAGCCATCAGGGCTCCAGCATGATGGAACCTCGGGCTTTTTCAGGGATGGGGTGGAGGTTACTCCTTGGAGGTCAAGTGCATGCCATACCCTTTCTCTGTGGCCTCAGCTCACCATTCTCTCTCGCCAGGGTGGCCTGTGTTGGTGCCCTGCCTCACACAGAGATGGATTGGGGGCAGGGCTTTCAATTGGTGGTCCTCATTTGGCACCCATATGAAAACATAGTCAGGGTGAGGGCATGGCAGCCACCCCCAGACTTGCATCTGGGCGGGCCCCAGTGCACATACCCTGCCCCCTCATTCCCAGGAGCACATGGTGGATTAGGAAGAGCAACAGGCAGCAGTCGCTGGGGGCCGC